CTTATTTTCTACTCTTCTCGTACGTCTGTTTCCGTGTGCAGGCCGCAATCCTCTGTTGGAGTTCCCATTTGCAGTGATAAAGAGCCTGGAGAAACTGGAAGAATTCTCTTGTTCACCATGCAACCTGGGTCCCACTATTTCAAGTGGGCTCTTGAATTTTCAGAGCAATGCATTGAAAAGGGTGTCCCTTGAAAATGGAGGTATCTCACGACTGGAACCAGGAGCCATCACAGGTATAATTTCTCATCCGAGTTTTCGATCATGGAGGTGGTTATGGACCTCTGCACACACCATTTGTTTGATGGTTTTTATGAGGTCTCATGCATTGGTCTCGAGGCGAAGGTCATAGAACTCAGTCATATTTATCGCATAGACTATTTTTTCATTCTTTTTTCCCCATTTATGGACAAATGCGTTAGCGAGAGGATGGACAGTGGGATAATATGATGGATCCTTCGTAAGTTCGCATAATTAGTCCTTTCTTGAAAAGGAGCTCTCTGTCTCTTATTTTCTTGAGAAGTAGATACTGCAAATCATGTCACCTATTTGTTCTAACAGCAGAAACAGTCACTATGCTTCTTCGGCGTGGGGTCCCTTTCATGCAATATTCAATTTTCCGTGTTCATTCCATCCTTGGAATAAGTGGCAAGGTGGTTTCAGAGGGTATGGGAAAAGTTCAGATCCTAAAGCATATCAGTTTCTTTACCGCTCCCTATGTAATGCACGTTGGTGTGAATTGCGATGGTGGCGCAGTAAGAATTCGTGAGGACTCTATTCGTGGAAGTTAGTAGTTAACTGGGGCAAAATACCCGTCGAATAGAAGCGTCCTGCGATTGGACAGTCCTTTATTGCTGCTTTCTGCAACGAAGGTAGCTGGTACGAATACGATCGTACGAAGGGCCCTCTTCGAAGTCGTATTGTGCTGTGCTAGTGATGGTCGGACGACACGTCCTATCGTGCACGTACCATACGGCTCAAGCAAATGATCCCGAGTCTAAACTTCAGCGGAAAAGTTTACATGTACCTCTTTTCCTCACATTTTTAATTCTCCCAAGAGTGCAGTCGTTCAAAAGGTAATATCATCTGAGCATGATGAGCCTCTGTTAACACTTGTAAATAGACTTGTTTCATGCCTTCTCTGCATGCTTTGGTCAGTCCTCCAGAAGCAGGAGACTTCCTTGGTGTTGCAGAAATTAAAACGGTAGTCAGGATATCGAAGTCCTGCCGCAGAAACTGAGGCGGAATAGAGAACAGGGAGTAGGATCATTGCTTAATTTAAATACGGTCAATGAGATGAAAACGTATATTGTATCATATCATACATAGCCGCATTTCAGGGGGTTGTGGGAAAACCCATGACATCAGCTGTAATTAAGAAAAACTAATTACCATACTTTTTATCATTGCGCGTAAAAGTTCTACATCCATCTTCAGCTTCTGTCTCACGCCTCACGAAACAAGATTACTACAATGAACGAGAGAGATCGACAGATCTTGAAGGTGATGTACCATGCGTTTAAAATACGTGGGAAATACATTTAAAAAACGGATAGCTCCTCGCCCAATGTGGCATAGAGGCTAGATGAGGTAAATGTTGCAAACAGAATAAGTTTCACGAAGACCTTTACCCGTATACGGAGGAAAATCTCTACCTCGATTCCATGGAAGAATATGCCAATGATATTAGAATTACTTTTAACCTGTGAATGATATTAGAATTACTTTTTATTACAATGATATTAGAATTAAAATGATATTAGAATTACTTTTTATTACAATGATATTAGAATTACAATGATATTAGAATTACTTTTAACGTTTTTAATTAACGTGTGAAGGTTTTGCTTCTTTAAAGTTAGAGTCGCATCATGAACTTCCACTGGTTGCCCTCCAAAAGCAAAAGTTCCAAATGAGAGTTGCGCTTTCCCAACGTCTATTTCAGGTCTCAGAGCCGACACACGAGTAAGCCTCGCAGGAAATGAGATTACCACAATGAACGAGAGAGTGTTTCAACCGATCTTGAAGGAGATGTCCCAGGGACACGGCTTCCTCGATATAAAAAGTGGGTGTCATGGCTTTTAAGCACTCTGTGCAACTACCCAAGTGTACTCCCCTTTCAAGTTCTTTATGTACGATTTGGTCCTCCCTTGCTCCAGACAATCCCATCCGGTGTGATTCCAGTTTGTCCNATCTCTACCTCGATTCCATGGAAGAAGATGCCAATGATATTAGAATTACTTTTGTCCAATTGCAACCGTTTTTTTGAAGAACATTATTATACTATTTAACGTGTGAAGGTTTTGCTTCTTTAAAGTTAGAGTAACATCATGAACTTCCACTGGTTGCCCTCCAAAAGAAAAAGTTCCAAATGAGAGTTGCACTTTCCCAACGTCTATTTCAGGTCTCAGTGCCGACACACGAGTTAGCCTCGCTGGAAATGAGATTACCACAATGAACGAGAGAGTGTTTCAACCGATCTTGAAGGAGATGTCCCAGGGACACGGCTTCCTCGATATAAAAAGTGGGTGTCATGGCTTTTAAGCACTCTGTGCAACTACCCAAGTGTACTCCCCTTTCAAGTTCTTTATGTACGATTTGGTCCTCCCTTGCTCCAGACAATCCCATCCGGTGTGATTCCAGTTTGTCCTGGCTGGCATTCGCTCCTGGATTGCTGAGAAAAGTTCTCGGTTCGTGTGAGGATGGGACCGATTTGAAGGACCCGGATCTGATGGAGTCTTTGAAAGTCATCTCGACGATGGCATGTCCACCACGTCCTCAGTGTCCTGATGGTGAGGAAGGCGTAAGATGCGTCGAGACACAACACGCATGCTTCTGTGAGGGGGGCACTCTCAATATGTCCTTCGCCTGTCCAGAAGTGACGCAATACTGTTGCACCAGTTCTGCTACATCTGTACCACCTTGCCATCGATATGTGAGTCTACGTTCATATTTGACATTGCTTGTCGTAACCCATCCGGAATGAAACCACTTGAATGAGCCCAGAGGAATGATGGTACTATTCAGGGGGTAGAGACCGGTTGCGGACCTCTTCAACCCATCGAGCATGGACACTTCATCATTTTCTCTTGCTCTGAATATGAGAAAAAGTAGGTTAATTTCTCTTTGCTTTGGCTAGACCACATCAGTTTGAGCAAAAAGGTCCGGATGAGTAAATTTGAGGCAGATTCTCCGCCATATGGGAGATGAACGACATTATGAAAGCTGTAATTTTTAGTAATGTCCCTGGATATTTGGAAACGCGTTCGACTTAACAAATCCTGTGCTTAGATTTCAATGATTTCACAGAGTTCTGCCAGAAATAAATCAATCCTTTCCTGAGGTGAGAGTGCATTTACGGCGTTCTAGCTCCTTCAGTGGGAAAACTTCATCCTCTTGACTTATATGCCTGGTATCCTCACTTTTGCAATATTTATATAATTTCCTGAACTTTGCTCTCTCGAAGCTTCTGTATCTAGTTCTCTTGAAAAAATCCAGGGATTTTTTTTAAAGTAAAAAAGTAAAAAGTTAAGACTTCTTACCCGAGATTCGCATCATAATAGAATCTTGATGTATAGTATTCGGCACATATTAACGGAGTAAACGGCACTGATGAGGTGATCCAAGTCCGTCGGAACTTGATAAGAATGAGTAAGAAATTGCAGATGAGCACATAGAAAGTTGACTTTGACGTAAATAACCGCAAAGCAACGACTCGGTGGTTCTCATCTCAATTACGGCCGCAACTCCCAAGTGCAGTAGCCACATCATTGGAACAACTGAATACATTTCCACGGGTAGGAGTGGCGTTGACTGTTTACACCATGCTTACACAATGTTATACAATGATTTTATTCCTATTACTCTATTTTCATTTAAACTCAATGCATGTAATAACCACGATTATAAATGTGAAGTATATCAGATGTTTTTAAATTGGAATTGACATTTTTGCGTTATTCTCTGCTTCGGAAATGAGACTCGAATCCCAGCAAGGAGTTCTGTCTCCAATGATAAGGGTGAGAGCGGCTGGCAGGGAAAGATTGAGCTTTCTTTGACATGAACAAAACGCATTGAATTGAATACCATTGCAATTGCATAATCACTCGCCGGGGTTTTTTAATGTAGGTTCTACATTTTCAGGCTGAATGAAAAATCGAAAAATAGTTTTTGGATGAAAGAGAGCAACATTTAAGGCCTAAAATTCCCTTTTTCCACGCTGAAAGTTTTTCTTTCCATCTCTTCCTAGTCCATACCTCCTGCTCTTCTTTCACCACAATATTAAAGGCACTGTTCAACAAAGAGCTATACTCATGTGGTGGCATATTTAAAACCATAACGCATGGTTTTCATCATAATTGCTGAACTGCAGGAAACCTGTAGTCTCTCTCCATGGATTGACGATGACAGTTGTTTCCAAGGATAGCGCGATTGCATTTTAAACCAGAATGCGATCAAAACAAGCCATCTTGTCAGATTCAAAGAAATACTATTTTTAATACCCCCATTCATCTGTAGTTGTGCAGATCAAGAGGATAACGTTTTGGAGGCATTGCAACTCCAGGAATCCTTCCAGAGAACTTGGTTGTGCCGTCTGATGAGGATTTATTTAATTAAATTCATACTAAGGTGATTTGCCTGAGTTGAAGAAGATTCCTACATTGTATGCACTCGCTTATGTTTCTTTTTGCAGGATTGACCGCAGTCAACAAGATGCTGATTCGCGGAATAAGACGGAATGCCTTCTAGGCGGAAAATATCTGACAGGAAGCATAGTTAAATATTCCTGTAATAAACATTACGTTCTCAGGGGTCCACGCTATCGAACTTGCAGAAAGAATAGAGAATGGACAGGCCCTACTCCCTTTTGCACACCTGGTCCGTCACTTCATTCTTTCTCGCTAGATTTAGAGGACCATTTACGACATAATTTCACGGTGGATTATCCCTGCCTCTAAGAATGTGGAGTAAATAATGGACAGGCCCTACTCCCTTTTGCACACCTGGTCCGTCACTTCATTCTTTCTCGCTAGATTTAGAGGACCATTTACGACATAATTTCACGGTGGATTATCCCTGCCTCTAAGAATGTGGAGTAAAGAGACGAGTTGCGACGTCGGGAACGGGCCCCGTTCACATGGCAAGTGGGAAGGAAGCTCTCATAGGGGAGTGGCCGTGGCAGGTGGCCATCTACGATAGGGCGGTTGAGGAAATCATATGTGGAGGAGCTCTGATTGCAGAGCGATGGGTTCTCACCGCAGCGCATTGCGTCGTGGATTACGAACCCTTCTTCAGTATCAGAGACGAGAGGGACTTCTTGATCTATCTCGGCAAGCACTATCGGAATAACTATATGGACGACGAATTTGTGCAAACAAAGGAGGTGAAAGACTCAGTAAATTCACTCTTTCCCTCATTTCCAATATAAATAGCAGAAGAAGCAAGGCTTTTCTTTCCAGGTGGCTCAAATCATCCCGAACGAGAGAAACTGGCGCCTAAGGTTTCAATCTGACCTCGCACTATTAAAACTACACGAGCCAACCAAACTGACGAATGGAGTTCAACTGGTCTGCCTCCCCACTCAAGAATACCTGTCTCGGAGCAATGCACTACAAGGAACAAAAGGATGGGTAAGCTAGGATGAATGGAGTAGAATTCATTTTTTCATTGCTTCATTGGTTTTTCATTGGTTTGATGGTAGGTGGCAGGTTGGGGTCTCGACGCCTCGGATTCTCCATCTAAGTTCTTGAGAGAAGTACGACTTACAGTCTATGACATACTAAGTTGTGAAAATCAAACCGCTACAACCGTAGGGAAATTGCCCGAACTCACCGATGCCCATTTGTGCGCAGGACACCAGCCAGACACTCATACTTCTACAAGTAAGATGTTTACCACCACGTTCCTCAAGCACCAATGATATAAAAACTAACTTAATTTTTACAATTTCAGATTCATTTTGTCTATCCATGTTCTCAATATGCATTGTCGGGAAAGTGCATTTAAAGAGAAGCGGGACGGACATAATTGCTACGCGGGACTATCGAAATGTTCCAGCATTGGCCTTCATAGGAGCAAACTATGTACAGAACTTAGGTTTCAGCATGACCCTCTTCGAAATAGTTTGTAAGATGCGTCGAGACACAACACGCATGCTTCTGTGAGGGGGGCACTCTCAATATGTCCTTCGCCTGTCCAGAAGTGACGCAATACTGTTGCACCAGTTCTGCTACATCTGTACCACCTTGCCATCCATATGTGAGTCTACGTTCATATTTGACATTGCTTGTCGTAACCCATCCGGAATGAAACCACTTGAATGAGCCCAGAGGAATGATGGTACTATTCAGGGGGAAGAGACCGGTTGCGGACCTCTTGAACCCATCGAGCATGGACACTTCATCATTTTCTCTTGCTCTGAATATGAGAAAAAGTAGGTTAATTTCTCTTTGCTCTCACGATTTGGCTAGACCACATCAATTTGAGCAAAAAGGTCCAGATGAGTAAATTTGAGACAGATTCTCCGCCATATGGGAGATGAACATTATGAGTAATTTTTAGTAATGTCCCTGGATATTTGGAAACGCGTTCGACTTAACAAATCCTGTGCTTAGATTTCAATGATTTCACAGAGTTCTGCCAGAAATAAATCAATCCTTTCCTGAGGTGAGAGTGCATTTACGGCGTTCTAGCTCCTTCAGTGGGAAAACTTCCTCCTCTTGACTTATATGCCTGGTATCCTCACTTCTGCAATATTTATATAATTTCCTGAACTTTTCTCTCTCGAAGCCTCTGTATCTAGTTCTCTTGAAAAAATCCAGGGATATTTTTTTAAAGCAAAAAAGTAAAAAGTTAACACTTCTTACCCGAGATTCGCATCATAATAGAATCTTGATGTATAGTATTCGGCACATATTAACGGAGTAAACGGCACTGATGAGGTGATCCAAGTCCATCGGAACTTGATAAGAATGAGTAAGAAATTGCAGATGAGCACATAGTCACGTCAACTTTTTGACGTTGACGTAAATAACCGCAAGGCAACGACTCGGTGGTTCTCATCTCAATTACTGCCGCAACTCCCAAGTGCAGTAGCCACATTATTGGAACAACTGAATACATTTCCACGGGTAGGAGTGGCGTTGACTGTTTACACTATGCTTACACAATGTTATACAATGATTATATTCCTATTACTCTATTTTCATTTAAACTCAATGCATATAATAACCCCGATTATAATAGTGAAGTAGATCAGATGTTTTTTTAATTGGAATTGACATTTTTGCGTTATTCTCTGCTTCGGAAATGAGACTCGAATCTCAGCAAGGAGTTCTGTCTCCGATGATAAGGGTGAGAGCGGCTGGCAGGGCAAGATTGAGCTTTCTTTGACATGAACAAAACGCATTGAATGCCACTGCAATTGTATAATCACTCGCCGGCGTTTCTTAATGTAGGTTCTACATTTTCAGGCCGAATGACGAATCGAAAAATAGTTTTTGGATAAAAGAGAACAACATTTAAGACCTGGAATTCCCTTTTTCCACGCTGAAAGTTTTTCCAACCATCTCTTCCTAGTCCATACTTCCTGCTCTTCTTTCACCACAATAATAGAGGCACTGTTCAATAAAGAGCTATACCTCATGTGGTGGCATATTTAAAACCATAACGCATAGTTTTCATCATAATTGCTGAACTGCAGGAAACCTGTGGTCTCTCTCCATGGATTGACGATGACAGTTGTTTCCAAGGATAGCGTGATTGCATTTTAAACCAGAATGCGAACAAAACAAGCCATCATGTTAGATTAAAATAAATGCTATTCTTAATACCCCCATTCGTCTGTAGTTGTGCAGATAAAGAGGATAACGTTTTGGAGGCATTGCAACTCCAGGAATCCTTCCGGAGAACTTGGTTGTCGCGTCTGATGAGGATTTATTTAATTAAATCCATACGTAGGTGATTTGCCTGAGTTGAAGAAGATTTCTACATTGTATGCGCTCGCTTATGTTTCTTTTTGCAGAATTGACCGCAGTCATCAAGATGTTGATTCGCGGAATAAGACGGAATGCCTTCTAGGCGGAAAATATCTGACAGGAAGCATAGTTAAATATTCCTGTTATAAACATTACGTTCTCAGGGGTCCACGCTATCGAACTTGCAGAAAGAATAGAAAATGGACAGGCCCTACTCCCTTTTGCACACCTGGTCCGTCACTTCATTCTTTCTCGCTAGATTTAGAGGACCATTTACGACATAATTTCACGGTGGATTATCCCTGCCTCTAAGAATGTGGAGTAAAGAGACGAGTTGCGACGTCGGGAACGGGCCCCGTTCACATGGCAAGTGGGAAGGAAGCTCTCATAGGGGAGTGGCCGTGGCAGGTGGCCATCTACGATAGGGCGGTTGAGGAAATCATATGTGGAGGGGCTCTGATTGCAGAGCGATGGGTTCTCACCGCAGCGCATTGCGTCGTGGGTTACGAACCCTTCTTCAATATCAGAGACGAGAGGGACTTCTTTGTCTATCTCGGCAAGCACTATCGGAATGACTATATGGACGACGAATTTGTGCAAACGAAGGAGGTGAAAGACTCAGTAAATTCACTCTTTCCCTCATTTCCAATATAAATAGCAGAAGAAGCAAGGTTTTTCTTTCCAGGTGGCTCAAATCATCCCGAATGAGAGAAACTGGCGCCTAAGGTTTCAATCTGACCTCGCACTATTAAAACTACACGAGCCAGCCAAACTGACGAATGGAGTTCAACTGGTCTGCCTCCCCACACAAGAATGCCTGTCTCGGAGCAATGCACTACAAGGAACAAAAGGATGGGTAAGCTAGGATGAATTGAGTAGAATTCATTTTTTCATTGCTTCATTGGTTTTTCATTGGTTTGATGGTAGGTGGCAGGTTGGGGTCTCGACGCCTCAGATTCTCCATCTAAGTTCTTGAGAGAAGTACGACTTACAGTCTATGACATACTAAGTTGTGAAAATCAAACCGCTACAACCGTTGGGAAATTTCCCGAACTCACCGATGCCCATTTGTGCGCAGGACACCAGCCAGACACTCATACTTCTACAAGTAAGATGTTTACCACCACGTTTCTCAAGCACCAATGATATAAAAACTAACTTAATTTTTACAATTTCAAATTCATTTTGTCTATCCATGTTCTCAATATGCATTGTCGGGAAAGCGCATTTAAAGAGAAGCGGGACGGACATAATTGCTACGCGGGACTATCGAAATGTTCCAGCATTGGCCTTCATAGGAGCAAACTATGTACAGAACTTAGGTTTCAGCATGACCCTCTTCGAAATAGTTACCGGGACTTGCGATACGCTTCTACCATCGTTAGTTTGAGTTTGGGAGACTGGGTATATCACATTCTTGGCAACTTCTTTCAATGCGTTGGTAGCAAATGACTGAAGCACGTCTGTGTCGTCGAAGCGGCGGCCTTTCGAAAGGCACTCCATTCCGGGAATATCACAAGGCGGGAGATCATAGGAATACTGAGGATGCGTGAGCAAAGTTACCCCGCGATTAAGTAAAATTCCAATTTACAGATCGATTTGCGGCAGTTCATTTGGACAAGCTCGGAATTGCCATGCATAATTTCCTCATCATGTATTTTCATGACCGTCCACTACGTTCGTCATCTTCAATGAATTCCCGATCTTCGGTATCCTCCTTATTTTAATGTGAGAGGGGCAGAAACGAGAAGGTCCTGCAACTTTTTCTTAGGGCATAGTAAATCCGTTGCCAACATTATAATAATAGCTTAAGAGCAGCTAAAACATATATTCGCCTATACCTAATAATCAGTGACCCAAACAAGGGCAGCAGAGCTTTGAGACACTTATGGCTCTAACATCGGCTAGAAGCGAACAATCAGAACAGTTCCTGCGTCATATGATTGCTGTGGTCTGAAACTATGCAGAGATTGTAGTCTCGTGACTCTAGATCTTCCCATCAGGAGAATATTGACTTTCAAAGTTGGACAATGCATATTTCCAGTTTTTGGCTCATGCACTCAATAGCCAAAATTGCAACTTGAATAGGACAGAAATGACCTCATTTAATTTTTAGTGTAGCCACCCTTGGATTTCAACACTGGAGCTACTCTTTTAGGCATACTTTTGATCTGATTAACATAAATCTTGGGCCATTCGGTTTCTACTCGTTGCCAAAGTTCATGGATACGTTTGGGGTCAGTTTCGTACGATCCAAGCTGTCGCTTCTGGAGTGACTATTGGTATTCAATATGGGGAAAGTGAGGAGACTGCGCAGGCCAGTCCAGCACTTCCGCCCTGTAGCCTTCTAACCCTTGGCGAGCCTTGCGAGATGTGTAGTGAGGATCATTGTCTGGCTGGAAGATGAAGCCATTCTGTCCCGTCTCGTAATAATCGACTGTAGCGAAAACGTAATTGCCTATGATACCGGTGTACAGTTTGGTGTCAATGCCTCCGTCGATGCGACAGATCCAGTCGACGCCTTTGGCAGTCACCCAGTCCCAAATCATCAGATAGGGTATATATTTCCGGGAAATATTTACCCTAAAGAATTTCAACAGGTCTACATGGCTGAGATGCGATACGGATGTATATCTCGGAAACACTATTTTCAGAAGCTGAAGAATTCCGTTAGATTTCCTATGAAGTTACCTAATGGGAATTAACGCGACAGCAATAAATATGTCGATGACCCTAGATGATTTACCAGATTGGTCAAAAACGGCTATTGCAAAGTAATTATTCATCATTGTAGATAATGGAGCGCCGGAGTCGCAACTAAACTCTAAACTCGCTAGTGATAAATATTATTGGAAGGATTTACTTGGGCTCTCAATAAAGCATCTTTTTTAATGAAGTCTAGCATGCAGGAGTGACCGATATACTTCTTTCTAGCATATGAGACGCTGTGTGAAGGAGATTCAGGGAGTCCTATTGTCTTCCAGACGAACTCGAAGCAAGAAAGAAGTCCCTGGTTGGTCGAGGGAATATTTAGTCACATCTACATGAATGAAACCCAGAAATGCTCTGAATTGCGCCCTGGCCAGTTTGCCATCTTCACCAGGGTCCATAAGTAAGACATGACATATTTATTCCTATCCCTCATCTATCGCGTTATGTTACAGAAACATCGTGGAACATGACGGTCACGAGAGACAACACTCTATGGTCTTTTAGAAAACATATCAGCGACGACTAACCACGAAGGAATTTCTCATGCGTACCAAGGAATGTCTCGGACAAACACCTTATCAATGATCCAAACGTTGTAAAATTGTCGAATTTCCCGATTCTTTGAATATTTAGTCATCATGGCTTTCCATGGGGCCACCCAAAATATACCTCGTACATACAGGATCGGTTCAAAAACTCCGGGGATTAATATATTAGATGGGATCTGGTATGTGTTGTTGCAGCATGACTCTACATATTGTTCTTGAACATCCCCAGAAGTGACACGCCCAGTCAAAAATTACGGTTGGCTTAAGGTTGGGCCATAGAAGGGGGAGTTGGCGTAAGGTCGGGCAATAGTCGGGTTGGCTGCACTTCTTTGCCCCATCCATAGGCCACCCGTGGGGTATCTCCCTATAAAGGGTACCCCTAGCAGCTTCGACCTACTGACGTGACCATGCACGAGCCATTGATGCAATACACATTGCTTTTCACTTGACTTCGACACTTCATGTCGAAGATCAATGATGACTGACTGAAGTGGAAAGCACTGTAGGCAGGATATACAGTAGCATCGTATATATTTACCTCATGTCAATGGAGAAAATTATAAGCATACTTCTCACGAATAATTACTACTCTGCAAAATCGATTTTTCCTGGAAGAATGAGGAAACTCAAATCGTAAGGACAGATTATATCGTCGCGGTAAGATAACAGAGAAGAGAAGAACCTGCGGTTCCGCTAGGGATGATTGACCCCCCCCCCCCCCCCCGAATGGCTCTTGATCCATGGGTGCCGCGTCAGCCGCTAGGTGTCTCTAGCGAGCGCAGGTGTTTTTATATAATAGAAGAGCAAGGAATTTAAATCTAAGCTTATATCGCAGGGTAAGATTATATGGAGTCCTTTTTATAATCATAGGCTATCAGAAGGTAAAGTGATTTAAGTATTATAGTCCGGCGTCTGAAATGGCCCCTGGTCATGAGAAACGCTTGCATCAATATCATTGGCGATTTTCGTTGTTCATCGTGAACAATCAAACGCGACTCAGCAGATCCTCGAAACCAGAAGGGGCGACTTTCAGGGGCAGCGAGTTTGCATCAAATTTTGTTTCAAAGTATGAAAAAAAGCGTTGGGGATTTACGAAATGTTGCAAGCAGCTAAGAGAGAGTCTCATTAAGCAAGTAGAAATGTTTCCATGAGGTCTCGGCATTTCCATGATGGCTGGGAATAAACCGAAAGCAATGGAAGCTCCGGACGTCCTTCGACGTCATGAACCGAAGAACACTAAATAAAACTCTTCAAAATTTTCTAAATAAGCAGTAGCAACACAGTTGACTTCTGATGCGGGTGAAAGAGAATCCCACTTCATAGCAAAAACCATCTCCTATTTTATCACGTAAACATACTGCTTCGAGAAAACCTCGGAATCCCTCCCTCCGTCAATTGTATATACGGAAGCTTCCGTCTCAACATCCAGAAACCCTCTCAACATCCAGTTAGTGATACGTCCTTGTATTGTTAGAATCGTTTTGCTCCGTTAAAGAAAGTATGTTTGCAAGTTTTCCTCGGAGGTTTTCCGCCTCACTCAAGGATCCATAATTGCAGTCATTTCTGGAAGACTAATTTTTTCCTCACAGAATAATTAGGTAAAAATCCAGGTTTTATTTTCATCTCCTGACGTTCCCTCATTAATCACTGACATTTTAGTGCAATTTTCCCACGAGAAGTGGAATATTTCTAGAAATGTTTGAAAAAATGTTCAGTGCATTAAGTTTCTTTGCTTTTTATTTGATTTTCATCCAGGTTTACTTGCCTTCATTCGGATATTCCTTGCGAAGTATAATCGTAAAACTCTAAAAATATTTGTTCTTCATGTGAACTGTCACCTCAATATATGGTCCACCAGTATAAGAACTACGATCAACGGGGATGAAACCCCAGCCGGGGTTTTTAATCATGGGTCGGAGAACGGAAGCGGTTCCAGACGATTTCCCTATCCTGCGCAATGGAAAACCCCAGCGTATAATGACCACGGACGTTTTTCTTTTTACAGAATCCTCATTTCTCTCAAATTTTCCTGCAGCTGAGGTCATCTCATAAGTATGGCGTCTCATGTTTACTTCGCACCATTCAGGTTTATGGATTGGATCGAGGAAAACATGGCGAAGAACGCAGAGTGAACTTCAACACGTTCCTCACGACCACCATGAATCCCGTCCCTGTTCTTCACATCCTGAAAAGTTTGATATTTACGTGAATGTTCCCTTTTGTGCGACAATACGAATGCATCCAATTGCCCAAATTGGACATATCATATTTGTTTTGTGATCAATGAAATTAAAAATGACGAGGCAAAATCGAGGAAGAAGCAATGGAAGAAGCATCGTGGACTTTTAGTACTTCTGTTTCCCCTCATCGAATATGAAGCAACGAGGAATTTCACTTAAGTACAAGTATAAACACACACAATCGATATTGTGATTTTGCCTTGAAGCCCTGCACTTGTTTTTCTTCGGAGTTTGAATTTTCCTTTCTTGGGTGTACCCTCTCCGGAATGTTCTTAAGCCAGGGCTCAAGCCGGCCGGAACTAATTTTCCCCTGTCATATGGAAATAATATTGATAAATTATGCAGATCGAGTGTCTCTCGGAAATGTCTATCATTTAACATATTTTCCCCGAAACACCGGATGCTTGCTGATGGACCCTGTGAATGAATACACCGTATTGATATTACAGATACGTTTGGGAAAAGTATCCGGAACGTTTAGTGGGTTAAGCTTGAGAGGTTCGTGCCGCGCCGCCTAAGCTTGTTCTGTGGCTATGTTACGTGGTATATATGAAAAGAAAGACGCTGAAAAGCTCTGTAAAATGGTGTATTATCTGCCGTGTATAGCTTTCAGGATAAAGTTTTCCCGCTCGATTGAAAAATGCGGCTCCGCGAGCACATCCGTCATTGCTAACTTCTATTTTATTTATAGTGATTGATAATGTTTGTTGCATGAAAAGTTACATGGGGTCAAAGATATGAGTCGAAAAGTTCCGGATGCTTTTTCCCAGACCTAATAGAAACATTCATTATTAATTTTCCAACGAATGAAGACTATAATGTATGAACGATATCCTCGGAATAATGTGAAAGTCTTTCACCTAATCAGATCTCCTCATTCATTTCCTTACTGAAAGTTTGTTTGCCATTTGGAGGTCCACTAGGAATGGTTGCACCTGCGACGCTCACACATTCTGAAGTGGAGTTGAGGCTTTTTTATTGCTGCGTCAAGTTAAGGCGAGTAATGTGACATCACTGGCAACATGAATTTGCAACATTAAAGGAAGAATAAACCTCAGCTTCCAAATAACTATCCGCTTGGGGCTTACTTATTCATAACGTACTGAGAAACGTAATATCTTACAAAAGTATTTTTCATCAGTTTCTTGGTTCTGTAACAAACGACTTCGGATCAACGCACGATATTAAACATTTACACTTTACTTGTGAAATTGTAGTTATGTATATTTCATTATTCCATTACTATAAAATCATAGGAATCCAGAATCCCATTTCAAGGAAAGTAAAGAAATACAACATTCAAAGAATTCATGAATTACGGATGATACTTTTTTTTCCACTGACTCAAGGATTCCTTATTTCGGTGGGGTGAGGTGTAGTAGAGGGGGAGGAATGAAATGGCAATATATTTTGAAGAACGTCAAAGGCGAAAGTTTTCCCGTTGCTTACCTGAGTTAACCTCAGCCTAATCTTCTTTGCACTGACCAGCACAAAAAGATAGTGTAACGTAACCGAAGTTTAAACGGCAGCGGAAAGGAATGCAATTTTGCCTTGACACTCGGTTCTTTCAGCCCATGCGAACGTTTTGATGAGCATCAGGGTCACATTCTCGTAACAATATGTATTCATCCTTGGCTGGTCCCCACCTTGCCTTATAATATCTACTGGTAGAAATAGATCTGAAATAATGCACTTGAAGATGTCACCGGTCATTCTGCGGAACCATTTTGATTCAGTCTTGGAAGTTATCCGGATCCAAGTCTTGAAAATCAGTTCCGTCGGCGTATCGACCACTCACACTTTCGAGGAAATTAGGATTGAGCCAAATCCAGGCCATACTTCATCCGCACTCGATAGGGTTCCCTGGAATGCAGAAAGCATGGAACGGCATAAGAGAGGAGGCTGTTGTATGATGAGAACCCGAGTGATTCACAGTTGAGATTGATGGCGCCGTTCCCCTGTGAGAGGACCTCCAGCACAGGACGGTAGGACTCTTCCGTCAAATCTTTGATTTCGTTGTATTGGACATCGATGATTGTATCAGGCATGAGACCTGAAAATTCTTTATGCCATATAGTGACGGAGTTCGTCAGAGTGAAGCAAGCTGACTCATTCCTTACTATTATTCTTCCTACACTCACTGCACACTCTGGAAGTTAACGCACGCTAAGGTCAGAACTTTACGAAAATTTAAATGCTTTTATTTATTACTTCGCTGCGGAAATCGAACGACCAGCTCGGCAAAGTCGGGCCCAGGCTGCAATATTGGACACCAAAAATATGCAATAAACTCTCCATACTCTTGACAAATTCATTCGAAACTTGCGATATGGGATCCCCATCTGGGCAGGATAAAATAAAATCCAGATAATCATCGACGCAATCTGAACATGGAAAATATGTAATTACTATGTACAGTACACCGGACGCCGGATAAGTCTTTTCGGCGATTTATGGTATGCCTTGTTGCATCTTCTTTGGCAACATTTCCAAAACGGCATGTTTTCGCTCCAGATTCCAGAAAGACCAAAGGTACAGGAAAAATTAAATTTGCTTTGGCGATCGTGAGAAAAGGCTTCACAATTGGCGCTTGAGCAACGAAGGAATGTTGTTACCTGGAAGGATGTCTTTCAGAGTCCTATCAGAGTCCAAAGG